TTTACAAGTTTCGATAGAACCTGCTGTCGTAGAACATTTTCCTTGGAGGATTATTCATGAATGAATTACAACCAACATCAGTGTTTCATGACAATATTAATCGGTTATTAATGAATAGTTAAAAACAACTTTTTTACACACGGCTACTTGATTTTGAGGAACTCAGATAAATTACAATTAATGAATAGCGAACGGAACATTGAAATTTGTGGTTTCAGGGCACGGAAGGATATCGAAAACAGATCAACAGACTCATGGATTTGGCTGCCTACTTTACGGCAAAAATTCGTCAAACTGAAGGATATGAACTTGTAATCGATCCGGTTCGAATATTAATTTGTTCAAATTGTTTGTGCTTTCTTCAAATTTTATAGTCTTGGAATACATTACGAAAACACTGACATGAAACATTGAAGGAAGTTACGGACTTTCCACAAGATACCTCAAAGTTTTCGAATTTTATCGCGAAATTTGCTATGATTTCACATCGAGCGGTGGTTCTGATTCATCGGAATTGGCAACAGTTTAGTTTGTGATACTTTGGAATCTGTAATGAGATTGACTGAGCAATTTCAGCCCGANGAATTGGCAACAGTTTAGTTTGTGATACTTTGGAATCTGTAATGAGATTGACTGAGCAATTTCAGCCCGAATATTTGAATATCTGCTTTTGGTACATTCCACCAAGCATTAGACACATGGATCCGGCCGAGAAGAAAGCTCGTCTTGAGAAGGTCTTGTTCGCTTTTTTCATAATATAATGAAGCGTTTGCTTGAACAACATTTTAACGTTGTGCCTTTCGAGACATTTCATGCCCACGACGAGAGTCATCTCACTTTCAGTGCACTGTTCAGCATCTTACAATAGTGTTCTCTGCAATGTTCAGAAATTCTTTTCACTTCTCAGATGTTGCTCACAATTGTTCAACATGACACTTTCAAAACTTCATTGCCGAAACAAATCGTTCATTTTACTTAGAGGTACTCAATGACACGTCCAGTTGATGTCAATTAATCAAAGTGTATTCACAGATCGCACCGAAGATAAAGGCAAAGATGATGGAACGTGGCACGACGATGGTTGGCTATCAACCCGACAAACAGCGGCCAAATTTTTTCAGAATGATCATTTCAAATCAAGCGATCACCAGACAGGATTTGGATTTTCTTATTCAAGAAATCATTGAGATCGGTAAAGATATGTAGAGGAATTGCTTTGAAATAGACCTGCATATGTTGTGATTTCGTGACCGCACACAATA